ACAACAACAACAACAACAACAACAACAACAACAACCAACCAACAACAACAACAACAACAACCGACAACAACATCCACAACAATAACAACAACAATACGTTATTGTAATATATACATGTACAATAACCAAAAATACGGAATACTAAAGCAAAAACAGAAATCTAAATGATAGGTAAAGGGAATCATATTAAATTATTATACGTGCGGCTTGGTAATTAAACGAGAAAGACCAAAGTCCTTACCCCACGTCACTATGACAGATCAGACTAGTATCATCAAGTCCCCCGCGCCAATGTAATACATGTACGCCTTTATGCAGTTGCCAGCACCGTAAAAACTGACCCAAATCGAAACTGATCAAGACAATATTTAAGCTGGGTAGCAGTTTACGAAAACGGCAACATTTGGAAGAAATTTACAACAATATTAGTAAAATTTTAAAAGCATGATAATTATAGTTGTGATATTTATGTCATAAATCTTCACGGAAATTCCCAAGACCGCAAGATTTTCACGAAAATAATGAAGTTTGTAATCCCTTCTCGTGGGGGTTTGGGGTGGGGGGGGGGGGGAGAGAGACAGACAGACAGACAGACAGACATACATACATACATACACACACACACACACACACACACACACACACACACACACACACATACATACATACAGTCAGACAAACAGACATTAAGACAGACAGATAAAAAAACAAAATAACCGGCGTGACTGTATCTACTGCATAACAATAATAGGCCATTCTTCCGCGGCAGAAATCATGTTCTGTGCAATTTACCGATCGGTTAAGATTGCGCTGCTCGTTTTAAAGATCGTATAATTGTATCATTCTTGTGATCGTGATCCCTTCAATATCACATTTTAATTTTAATTTTCATATTTTTCCACTTTTGAAAATATACGTGGGTGTTCCTTGGTGTGAGTAAAAGAACAAAAAAGGAAGTGAATTTTAAAAAAAATTATTAAAAAAAATATATGATAGATGTACTTTGTGAACTTTGAGTGTGGTACCTGGCATTGTATGTATCATTCTTGTGGGCTCCTCAGTTTCATATGTTAATTTTTATTTTAATTCCAATTTTCATATTTTTACACTTTTGAAAATATACGAATGTTCCTAGACGTGAGTAAAAGAATAAAATAAAAACCTGGAACGATCTAAACGGTTATAAACGTTTCACGTCTCCATCGTCACATTAAAAAAATCATTTACGACGTACGGTACCCCGATCCAGCAGACCAGGGCCAACCGAGACTTCCCAGAGCCTTCCGCGCGCCACAAAGGGGGACTACTCGTGCTCTGGAGTTTCAGAGAAGCGTAGGTACCGACACAACAACAGTCAAACAGAGCTGGGTAAAACAAGTCAGAAACTAAACGAGGGATACTTTCTACACGATTGGGTTTTCACAATAATTATCTACAGCTAAAGGTACGCACTACAATAAGATATAAGAGCCAGGAGCCTGAAAATCAGACATTGATGGCTGAATCATTTAACAGCTTTTGAAGGGAAATAATCTTCTTCCACTACAACATACTAGCAAAAATTGTATAAGCTTCAAAGTGGTTCATTCTCACAATTGAGATATGAAAAGGGGTCCCCAAAAGCGCAAATTAGTTTGGTAACATTTTCAGGAAGAAATAAACATGTGTATGGACAGAAAAGGAACAAAGACTGTTTGCCCTCCTCCTCCTTCCCCTATTCAAATTTTATGAATTGAAAGAAAGAAAGAAAACGTTTGTTTCACTGTGGAAGACGACATCTAAATCTTTGCGCTTAGGTTGATTAGGACGTTTTTTTTTAAAATTCCCCTGAAATAATATACAACAAGGCATTCTAGGAATATGATCGGAAAAACTATAAAACAATTTAATACATTTTAAAAAGCTAAGCAAATAGAGGGGAAAATCAGAGATTGCAGAAAACCCCCAGGTACAAAAAATGTCTCCACAAATACAGGGTTGCCGGAGACATAAAACTAGATACCTACATGTCAAATTATAATTAAAAGAGGAAGGAAAAAAACAACTTCCACCATCAAACTACATGTATAATCAAAAGAAGAAGGAAACAACTTCCGCAAGACAATGGTTCAAAATATAACATAATATTTCAAATACGACACACACTTGTTCCAGGGGGGGAAAAAAGGGGGGGGGGGTTCAAAGGAAGAAGAATATTCGAATGTAAAACCTTATAGTAGAAAAAAGAGAGAAGCAAAATCAACTCTAGATTTTTTGCTAATGCACTTCAATCAAGAAAGAGACAAACATTGTTGGTTTATTTTTCTGACCTGTTGTTAAAAATCTTTTCACAAAGAAAAAAAAAGATGTACTTTAGAAATAGAAAATAGAAAAAAGCAATACAACAAACAACGAGAACTAAACTATTAAAAAACACGAAGTCTAAACGCCGCAATAATATGGTGCAACTGGCAATTGAGAGAAGGAGTTCAGAAAGACAACACAGAGAAGTCTTCACACTAAAAACGAAACCGAAGAATAAGACACAACTTGTGCAAAATCCATTCAACTATGCTACCCCAAAGCTGTCTGACCGTGGCAGAGCTACCCTGGTTTTCGGGATACAAAAAAAAAAAATTTAAAAAATCAACTACTCTCTCAGCAAAGGGACTAAAACCAAAAAGCATGTGCGGGTCTCTTTTCTAATGGTCTTACTGGAACATAGGTCGTCCTCGTCTCCTTCTTCCTCTCCACTCTCTTCTATGACTTGACGAGGGGAAAAAACGATTAGGAGACGATAATAAGAGGGAACAAATTTATGATAAACTTTACAACGACTTCTCCACAGAATTCATAGACGTAAGTAGTGTGATCGAAAACTACTTTTTCTTCTTCCCAACCCCTTCCTCATTTTCCTTCTTTCTTTTTTTCCTTCTTGCCCCCGTCGTCTTCCTCTTACTGCCTCGCTGTCTTCTTCTTCCCCTTCTTCTGTGTCCTATTGCTAGAACTAAAGGACTTTTTTTTTTCATTTGGAGGTAAACTTCCTTGGTCACACTTCAAGCCCTGCATAGGAATAACCTACCGTGGTGCGCTGAACGTTACCTGATGCTTTTTAAGATCCTCCCTTTGATTACATTAATCAAAGAATATTATGACAGGTCAGTCAGTACTCAGCTTTCTCACCTGACATATTCCAAAAAGCAACAAGAACCACAAAAATATCTTTAATAAAATCTAACCCTCCCTCTCCAATATAAATACAAAATCCCCCCACGGCATACAAACAAAATAAATAAAAAAATTCTGCAACTCCTTAACAATGCTTCTGTTTTTGGCTCCTCACATGCGCAATCAGTAGATACCCCAATGCCAACATTCATCATGTTATAATGACGCAGCTAAATATTCTTCAAAGATTCAAAGAACACACAACTTGAGAGGAAAAAAAAATAGCCTCAACATAAAAATAAGACCAAAGACCACACAGAAAGGTCAAACAACCTTGAACTATGACGTCAACCCCTTCACTGCTACTCTGAACACAGCTTTGCCGCAAAGGAGTGGGGCGGGAGTATGAGCTTATCAAAATGTCATTAATAGTCCATCCACGAAACTTCACACTGGGATATGAAAAAAGACAATCCTGTGAGTACCTTGTGAGTACCTCGTGAAAGTAATGTGTGTCACAACGCGGTGAAATCAGGAGTCCTCGTCAATTTTTGGGCATAATAAAATATAATATATGGAGTTATTGGTATGATCTTAAAGTTTATTCATTTGTCTTGCTTTTGATAAATGCTTTTTAAAAAAAAATCACCCCATCTATCTTGAATAGAGGTCGCGACGTTCGCAATAGAAGCAGGTATGGGTCACCTTGAGTCTGAGGTAGAATGAGCGAGGAAATGGAACTCAAGTCTGGTGAGTTCTAAACCTTGAGTGACCATGGAAACTTTAAATTTACAATTTTTGAGCCTTTGACGAACATTTTCAGTAAAAATTTACACAAAAATGTTTTTAAATAGACATAATAAAAGGTGTTGATAACCCCCCCCCAAAAAAAAAAAAAACAAAAAAAAACAACAACCAACAACGACAACCTCCATCCTCCTAAAAATAAAATCTTTTGATCAAAACTGCGTAAAGGGCTGAAAGACACCAGTTTCTCCGATGACGTCATTTTGAAAGGCGCTTGATTCCACCACCACGTGACATATATATATGGTAACGATAGTATTTCTCTTGTTGGATCATCCCTGAGCTGAGTACGTATAAGTACATTGTACAGATGTATAAGGTTACATTTTTAACACTGTTTCATCAGACCCGACAGTCTCAAGGGAGGCAATGAAAGGGTTGACAAA